GCTGGCCGCAGCGCTCGCGCAGTCTCAAGCCCGTGCTCTACACCGACCTGGTGGTCAGCCGCCTGCAGAGCCGCAAGAAGAAAAAGGCGGTGAGGGCGTTGGGGCCGCGGCCCACGCCAGGCTGGGGGGCGTCCGAGGGGGGTTGCTGAGGGCGGCGCGGCTGAGGGGGCGGCTTGAGGGAGGCACCGAATGTGGCACTAGCCAAGGGGGCCTCGGTGGGGCTGAGTGCGGAGCCCGGCAGGGACAGAACCCATGGGTAGCCAGGGATGGTCACGGACTGGAGGGGGAAGGGCACAGACCCTCGGATCAAGTTGGGAATCTCAGACCAAAGGGCCTTTGGGTCTTCTAGATGAGAACGTGAGATGGCGCTCACCCCTGGGGTTTAGGACTTTTCGAAGGAAGACATGGTTGTGGGCCAAAGGAGGTCCCGAGAGAGGGGGCAGGGGATGAACTGGAAGGCTGGAGACAAGGAATGCAGGTTGGATTTCCATGGCCACTTCAGGGTCCTCGCCAGAGTTGGAGAGCTGGGGTTTAGGGCCCGAGCTATGCTGAGTTTGGGCGGGGTTTGTGCTGGGAGAGCTTTGTGCATCAGCCTGGGTTGTGCTTGGGGGTAGAGGTTGTGGGGTGTACCCACCCCCCCTAGACAGAGTGTGCACACGTGGGATGCTTGGCTGGCCTTGTGGCTGGGCATGGCAGTGGACAGTGAAAGAGTCAGACTGTGGTGTGTGGGGAGCAGGGAAGGGAGGAGGCTGCGTCCCATCATGGAGAAGGCACCAACGTCACCACTGCACCCAGCTCACACGCAGGCAGCATCACACGCCACACGCTTAGCCCAACACGCACATGCTGGAGACACACCCACTCACAGACAGGCTGCTAGAAGCGCCCCCACAGTGGGAGGCGCTGGTATAGACCCATGTCGCAGGTTACTCCCAAGAAGAGGGGTCTCCTATGCCACTCCTGGAACCCATCCTCTCCTCTGACCACCCTAAGGCCCCCACAGGTCCCTCAGGGCAACTGCAGGGAGGGGGGGAAGTCACTGGTTCAAGAGCTCACAGGAAGTTTGGGATGTGCAGGGTTTGGAAGCTAAAACTACTGCCTGTTAGAATAATATCCACGCCCCGGTAATATGAATATGGGCGTGGGCAGGGGGCTAGACCACCCTGGCATTTGGCTTGGTGGGGCTGTCTGGGTTGGGGGAAGCTCTCAGCTTGCCCTGGGGTTGGGAGCCTTGAGAGTGTGTTCTCTCTTAGCCAAGGAAGGAGGTAACAGGGTGAGTCCCTGTTCCTGGGCCTCATTTCTCCATGTACTCTGGGTTTATCCTATGGAAATAGGCCAAAATACATGACTGGGGAAAGGAGAGCTTCTTAGGCTGCTCTTTTCCATTCCCTCTAGGGCTGTGCTTCTCCCACCCAGGATCTGAACAGGAGGACCCTTAACAATAACAGCAACAGTAAAGATAATAATAGCAGCTGCTATTTATTGTGCATCAACCACGTGCCAGGATGTCCTGGACTAATTGCTTTCCTCACGTTAAATACGTGGTACTACGTTTGTTCTCCCCGTGGATTCTTGTCCAAAGTCATGCAGCCGAAGTGGCAGAGCTGTGCCTGGGTTGTAGTGCTCTGTCCAGAGCCTGTGTTCTTGGTCATTACACCCTGCTGCCCATCCCCACCCCCAGTTCTATCTCCTCCCCCAAACTGGGAGGGAGGGCTCTGAGCTCTGGCATTGCTGCACCTATCCCAGGATTGACCCCCATCCCCTGATTTATTCCTCCCTTCCCAGGCCTTGTACAGCTCCATCAAGAATGAAAAGTTGCAGTGGGCCATGTGAGTCCTGGGGCTGTTTGGAGGGGTGGGGATGGGGTATGGGGAGGGGGCTGCTTGAAGAAGTTGAGAGCAGAGCTGGGCCCTGTGAGTCCTGGGGCTTGAGGCCAGGGTAGAGGGTGAGGCCATGAGAGGCAGAGAGGCTGCCTCACTTCCTTTTTTGGAGATGCCCGCCTGGATTTGGGGTTCTGTGTCTTGTCTCTAGCTGGGTTGTTATGACAAGCTGGGCTAGGGTAGGTAGCCAGTGTCAGCTGGCCCGGGAGGAGGGGTGCTGAAACAAAAAGGGAGGTCCCTTGAGAACCCAAGTGGGAAAGTAGAAGTCTTGAGTTAGAGCTTTGACCAGTAGTTCTGACCAGTAGTTCAAGAGCCTCCTCTCAGGTCCTAGGGAGCCCAGAGTGTCACAGAACGAGGGACCACATTGTCTACCCTGGGCAGCCCCGATGGAAACAGACAGACTTAGAATTAAGTCTTGAAGAGTCCAGCCTGAAGGAGGAGGTCCAGTTTTAGCCTTGGGTCCCCGAGTCCGAGGGTATAGCCCTCATCTAAACAGTCAATAGATCATTCGTATTTGCTGGTATCTGCTAAGAGTTCAGTCACCACTCAGTTTAACTTGGAACCCCCAGTCTGCAGGAGAGAAAGCCTTAGAGGAGGCAGAGCTCAGGATTGGAGTGCAGGGGGGATCAGGGAAAGCTTCTGGGAGGATTGGATCTTGGGGCAAGCCTTGAAGGAGGGGAAGCATTTGTTTGGGGACAGAAAGTGGGAAGTTGGTATTTGGGAGGCAAATGTCTGGTGGCTGAAATAAGTGTGGGGTGGGGAGACCAAGAGGAGGCAGGCCTAACTGGAATGGAGAGTGGAAGGAGAGAGATCGTTTTGGCAGGATAGAGTATGGGCTCCATGTGGGAGGCAGTAGGGAGCTACTGCAGGTTTTTGAGTGAAGGAGTGACAAGATAGAATCAGATTCTTTAAATGATATCTGACAGAGCCTGCAGACTGGGATGTACTTGGGGACCACTAGGAAGCTCCTCTTGCCATTTAGCCAACAAGCTACCAGTAAAGGCTGGTGCTGCATGTGGTTGAGAGGCTGAGTCAGATATGTGTCTGCCCTAGTGGAGAAGGGAGTCATGAGTGGGGGTCAGGGGAGAGTATGAGGCTGGTTATATGTGAGGGGAGGACAGCTCTACCCTGGGGAGCTCTAATCTGGGGGCAGAAACATGCTGCCTCGAGGAGCCCTGATGTGAGCGGGGAGGCACAGCTACACCCTGGGGAGACCCGGGCTGAGGCTGCAGACATGGCTCCAGGAGCCTCAGGCTGAGAGGAACCACACCCCATGAGAGGGGCAGTCCCCTCACTCCATCTCCACGAACACTGGAGGAACTTTCCTGGGTGGCAGAGGCCAGGACTGAAGGGGGGGTTGTGGCTCCACGGCCAACCCCCTCTGAGGTGATCACACCTGCAGAGACGAGGAGGAGCTGAGACGCTCTCTGTCTGAGTTGGCCGACCCAAACCCCAAGGTCATCAAGAGGGTCAGCGGGGGCAGTGGCAGCGGCTCCAGCCCTTTCCTGGACCTGACTCCCGAGCCCGGGGCCGCGGTCTACAAGCACGGGGCCCTGGTGCGAAAGGTGCACGCAGACCCTGACTGCAGGAAGAGTACGTGGCCGGGTGGGGAGGCCTGGGGGATGGATGGGAGTGGGCCTGTCTCAGGCCCCCCTGACCCTGTCTTCCTCACCCCCCCAGCACCTCGGGGCAAGCGGGGCTGGAAGAGCTTCCACGGGATCCTCAAGGGCATGATCCTCTACCTGCAGAAGGTGCGGGGCCAGCCCAAGGGGTTGGGGTGGAGCTGGCTCAGGGCAGTGGGGTTGGGTTGGGCTGGGCCAGGCTGGGACTGCAGCCAGGACAAGATGGGCACCCCCGCAGGAGGAGTACCAGCCTGGGAAGGCCCTGTCGGAGGCAGAGCTTAAGAATGCCATCAGCATCCACCACGCGCTGGCCACGCGCGCCAGCGACTACAGCAAGAGGCCCCATGTCTTCTACTTGCGCACAGCTGACTGGCGGATCTTCCTCTTCCAGGCCCCGTGAGTGCCCACCTCCTGCCCGTCCCAGACCCCTTCACTCCGCTCCCAACTTGCTCCCCTCCCTTGTCTCTGGATTGCCTCATTGCTTCTCAGGCCACACCCCAAGCTGGGACTGGCATCCCTGGACAGGAACCCTGGGCTCAGGTTCCAGGTGGCTGTGCTGTCTCCCCAGGAGCCTGGAGCAGATGCAGTCCTGGATCACTCGCATCAATGTGGTGGCTGCCATGTTCTCTGCACCCCCTTTCCCAGCTGCTGTCAGTTCCCAGAAGAAGTTCAGCCGCCCTCTACTGCCCAGCGCTGCCACCCGCCTCTCCCAGGTAACCCTGGTTGTCCACCTGTTGCCAGTGGGTTGGAGTGGGCAGGCCTAGGCTGACCTCACTCAAAGCTGCTGCATATGATGTAGATGTCCACTGCACCAGGACACTAGCCATGGCGGGTGAGCAGAGGCTGAAAGAGTCTCCACTTGCTAAGCAGCTAACCCAGGCATGGTGCTTTGTTCATCCAAAAGAAGGGGCACCTTTTTAAAGAACTTGCACACTGGCACTGTCTATGCCAGTGACCCTGACCATGCTCCCCTGGCCTCTAGGAGGAGCAGGTGCAGACCCACGAGGCCAAGCTGAAGGCTATGGCAAGTGAGTTGCGGGAGCACCGGGCTGCCCGCCTGGGCAAGAAGGCCCGAGGCAAGGAGGCTGAGGAGCAGCGGCAGAAGGAGGCCTACCTGGAGTTCGAGGTGAGCCTCCCAGCCCAGGCACCTCTTGTCTCCCTACACAGACTCAGATTAGTGGTTAAGGGCGTGGACTCTAAGAGTGGGACCAGCTGGGTGAGCTTGGGCAGGTTGCTTAATCTCTCTGAGCTGCAGTTTCCTCTTCTGTGGGACAGGGATAACATTCCATCGCCACTAGGGTAATACAGTGAGATGATGTCTGTTGAGTGTCCACTTTTGCCAAGTCTGGTAAAGTCTCAACAAACATCAGGTGTTACAGTTGGCAGTCTAGAGAGCCCAGAGAGGGTCACCAACCCACCCAGGGGTCATGTCACAGTCAGTCCTTGGGGGCTTTTGGGGCTTCAGAGGTCAGTAAGAACCTGGTGTCTCCTAGGCTTTTTTGGTGTCCCTCCCTAGTCCAGGTTGGGGTGGGCTGGGCAGAGAGGGGAGAGCAGGCTCATCCCTTGCCCCTCTGCCTCAGAAATCCCGCTACGGCACGTATGCAGCACTGCTTCGGGTCAAGCTGAAGGCAGGCAGTGAAGAGCTGGATGCGGTAGAGGCAGCACTGGCCCAGGCCGGGAGCACAGAGGATGGACTTCCCCCTCCTCACTCCAGTCCCTCTCTGCAGCCCAACCCTTCCAGCCAGCCCCTGGCTCAGTGTACTGGCTCAGAGCCTCGGGCAGGGGCAGGCAGTGGGCGGTGGAAGCCCTGAGTTGGGGATGGGAGTGTGTGTGGGGGGTGGTGCCCACCGGGCACCTGCATGCCGTGGTCCTGCCTGAGCCCGGGCCGGCCTCGGGCCACCTGTGAGGGCCCCTTGGCCCAGGGCCTGACCGCGCCGGACGCGGTGTCCGGGGCAGGGCAGGGCTAGGGGTGTGGGCCTCGAGGGAGCCTTAGGCTAAAGGCCCCTCTGAG